TACGATGTTTCTTGAAAGTATTCAAATTATTCTTATTTCGCTCTTAAAGCTTCCTCTATGAGGAAGCCACAATGGAAGCAATGTGCAAATTTCTAATTAGAAAAAAAAGTAAAGTAAAGTGTGCAAATTAGAAATTTGCACATGGCTTCCTCATAGAGAAAGCTTTAAGAGCGAAATAAGAATAATTTGAATACTTTCAAGAAACATCGTAGTAAAGTTAGATTTCTCTCTTAAAGCTTCCTCTATGAGGAAGCCATAACAATGGAAGCAAAGTGCAAATTTCTAATTTGCCTACTTTAATGATGAGGAAGAAATGTGCAAATTTCCAATTTGCACGCTTCAATGATGAGAAAGCAAAATGCAAATTTCTAATTTGCACACTTTCAAGAAACATCGAAAAAAATTAGATTTCGCTCCTACACCTTCCTCTATGAGGAAGCCATGTGCAAATTTCTAATTTGCACCCTTTACTTTACTTTACTTTTTCTAATTATATATTATATTGTTCTTCAGTTTTTCAATCCAAATTTCATATATATTTGTCTAACGATCTAATTTCACGCCAATTCGGATTACAAGTCATGGTAATAAATAAATCTGGTTTTCCATATTTTCGAACAATAGCCATCGCATCTTGATAATTTTGCATCATATTACGCGATGATCCCACAAACGTTGACGGAAGTATAATCATTTTTTCAATATGAGCATCGTTATTATTGGGAGCGTTTGACAAATAATCAATTAATCCTTGATAAATCTCAGCTCGTAATTGTTTTTTATTTTGTTTGCAATAATTAATTCGGTCTTTTTCAATTTTGACATAACTATCTACAAGCCATTGCTGAAATAATCATCTTTCCATAATGAAAATATTAAAATCATCACGTATAGCTATTCGATATTTTACATATATGCAGCTCTACTTATTCGCTTATTACTATCTCTATGTTGTAAATTACCATGCCAACCTTGATTACCACATGGTTCTACATTTGGATCCATCATTGTACTGACTTGTTGCAATGTCCTGTTACTTTTATTATAAATTGTCAGTTTCCGGAATTTCACCATCCGCTGTAGTAGAAAAAAACAGCTACAACTTCATTTACTTTTTGCAAATTGTATCGGCCACGATTAATGCTTTTTTTTGTAAAAAATCCCAATTGTAGTTCACATATACTATTATCTTCAATTGTTCGTTCCTGTATTTGAATGTCTTCGTGCATCATTCGATAAGTTTGTGCAAAAATATTATTCGTACGCATTATATTATCTATTGAACGTAAAATTTCTTCATCGAGATTTGAATTTCGATGTAATCGACACTCTGTCGCTTCATTATTATCCACGATAAAGAGTTGACCATAATTTGGCATTTTATATTAGGTGCGGGATATAATGCGCATTATATTATTATTATACCGCGCGGTATTAATTTGATAATAGATTTGTCCTTGAATTTTAAAGCAATAAGGTCCACGTCTTAGTGTACTGAAATCTGATATGTTTGCATTAAATGACGCGAATGAAAATGTATTATATTTCATTAGATTCAACGACCTACATTGGTCAATGTTTTTATTTAAAAACCGATTACAACGTTTCGGCCCCGGGTTTGAGCCCTTTTCAAGTGATCTGAGATCGCAAATTGTAAATTTATATAACAATGATGAAGGCCTATCGTAAATCAATTATAAATTCATACCTTAGTAATAATTACTGTGTCATTAGTCAATCATTCCACTGTGACGAACTGATTGTGAGTAGAGACAAAAGAAAAGTCATTAATATAACACACAATTAACGTGTTCAATGAAACTTACATATTGGTCAAGTAAATTTCCAATTCTTTGTTAGAAGAAAGGTAAATTCGATTAAAGCAACACGATGCTCGCGCAATCATGTCCGGAATTAAAACTGATTTCACAATTGTCAGGAATCGGACTTGTTTTGACGAGAGGTCGCGTTAGACTAATAAATAAATAAGATTAAAAGTATCATGCACACTGAAATTATAAATACCTGTCGAAACAAAGAAAGTCACAGATGTTCAAGGACTTTATTACCCACACAGCACATGATATCATTCGAATATTCTGTACTCATACTGAATGTTCTGTGATAATACAGGATAAACTGAGAACATTCGAATAATATCTTAGTAGTACGTTATTTCTCGTATGTGCATGGGATGTACGCGGAATATAGACATGTGCCTGATCCGGTACGTCTGATTCCCTCCTGAATAGATAGCACTAGTGCCACATACTACCGCGACGTGGCGACCGCGCGTTAGTCTTTCTCGTAAGTAAAAATCGTCCCGTATTAGTATAAAAGGCGAGCCGATACGTTGCGAGAACGAGTTGCCTGGATCTGTGGATCATGGCTAAACCTCAATAAACTAAATATACTTTTAATGACTATGTAATTTAACACAATTTAACAGTTAGTTTAACAAATTGAATTTTTTAATAGGAAGCCTATTGATGTCCCACTCCCTATTAGAAACTGTAAGGCGCAACAAAGGGCAAGTCATGAGGTCTTAATAAAGAAAACCTGATCAGGCAATTTTAATTCTCGACGTTACATTTATTGTCAGGGCCCTGTCAGGGCTGCCTGATGAGTGCCTGACCAGGCATTAATCTTTATTAGGCCCCTATCAGGATCCTACTAAAATTTCTGCTCGGGTATATGTATACATACGATATACGATACATATTACAAATAATATTCTGTTGATATTCTGGTATATCAACAGAATATCCTCAGTATATACCATTGGTATATTTTCAGCACATACTATGTATGAGAAAAAGCGGACATTAGTGCATTCTCAGTACGTACTCAGTACATCATAGAACATATTCGAAAGCTATGAGAATATACGTAATGTACTGTTGAGATATTCTCAGAACTTTCTCAGTATCTACATGTGCTGTGTGGGTATACATGTATACTGGATTTAAGTTTTCAGTGTCGCGTTTTAAATTAATTGCATTTGTATGTTTTTTAATAAAAACCATTTCAGCAATCTCACGTTTAATTTTATGTTTTTCGTTATGTAATATTTTAGGTTTCAACCAATTAAAATCATGTTCATGATTGAGGCGATGCTTGCTAACAACCGATAAATTATTTTCTTGTTTTTTAATATCGTTGCAGTGTTCATTAATCCTTGTTCGGAGATGTCTCTTGGTTTGTCCTGTGTAGGATGCGTCACAGTTATTACAGTCTATCTTGTAGACAACTTCGGTTCTCTTGTCAATATTCAGTCCGTCCTTACCCTTCTTTATGATTTGGTTAAGTTTTTTCGGTATTGTATGGAGGACCCCGAGACCACATTTTTTTAAAATGCGACATATATACCACGGCGTGTATTTTTTATAAATGGAAGTGGTATGAATCCACGAATCTCAAACCTTGGTTTAGCTTGTTGGACAGAACAATTCGATGAGAATTTCCGATGTTTTAATTCTTTTATTCTTGCTTTAATGTGTTTGTCTATGATGTCATTTGGAAAGCAATTGTTTCTTAGGATATTCTTTACTATGTTAGGTTTGTGGAACCATTCGTCGGATAACAAAATTGCTCTGTCCACCAAGCTCGTTATTGTGTTTAATTTGTATTTTTGTGGGTGGTTGGACAGATAGTTGGTATATCTTCCCGAGAAAGTAGGTTTTCTATACCAGTTTCATTGAACACGTTAATTGTGTGTGTTACATTAATGACTTTTCTCTTGTCTCTACTCAGTTCATCACAGTGGAATAGTATTGGCCAAATGATTGACTAATGACACAGTAATTATTACTAAGGTATGAATTTATAGTTGATTTACGATAGGCCTTCAGCATTGTTATATAAATTTGCAATTTGCGATTTCAGATCACTTCAAAAGGGCCCAAACCCAGGGCCGAAACGTTGTAATCGGTTTTTAAATAAAAACATTGGCCAGTGTAGGTCGTTGAATCTTATGAAATTTTATTAATTATGGTTTAGATTTATGAGGCCATGGTTGTACCACAGTTGGGTATTCTTGTTGACACCGACAGGCAGAGAGCAAAGTAAAACTCTGAAGATATTACATGGATTCACTGAACGAGTACGTAAAAATGTTATTTAATATTATACATATACATATACACGACCATTATTTCCTTTTATGTAGAAATTACAGTAAAGACTTTATGACCATTGTATAAACTTACATCCAATCAGAATTATATAATTTAAGAATTATATATTATAATTTATATATTATAATTCTGACTTTCAAGTAAGCAATCAAATATCGACAAGAAATTTTGCATCGTAATTTTTAACTGACATGTAAATTCTTATCCTTTATTGTAATTTTATTTTAGTATATACACGCTGAAGAAGACAAAGTACTGTCGAAACGTTCGTTAGATTAAATTATTTGTATTTAGGGATTTTATTATTCCCGTTTTAATTATATAGACTAAGGTCATATCACATTATTTATTAAAATGTTTTAAAAACCTACATCGCTCGTTTAGCTTATTGGCCCATTATATCTAATCTTATTAATTTAATACGAGCCTAATACTGTTTTTAATTTTTTATTATAATTTAATTATTTGGATATCTTTTATTTAAAAAGTTTTTTATTTTCTCCGCCCCCCCCCCCCTCCAAAGTATCTTCTGTACAAAAGTAATGATATTATCAAATGGCGCCAACTAAACTGAATATTGATACAAAATAGGTACTTTATTATTTTTTATATTAAAATGTTATAGCCAAACAATCGAACATAAAATTTTATCGGAAGAAATAAAGGAAATATTATAATAATATTAATGAGACCAATTTTTAATACTTATTCCATAAAAATTTAATGCAAATAAACTTAAGACAAATAAATATTTTATTAAAAGATCGCCTCTTTTAATTTAATTGTGGGATACATATCGATCCTGATTCATGATATCATTGATTATTAAAAAACTTGGTTTATTAAAAAAATTACATAACACCCAGTATATGTCTTTGTCTAAAAGTCATCGTAATGACATCTTTTACACATACCCCGTAAGCAAAATGATAGCAAATTGTGGGCAGACTGACAACAGATTTCATCAGAACATTTCAGCAGATTGACATCATCTACGTCTGCATTCAGCCTATGTTCTGCCGTCAGTTTGCTGACATGCTCGGACTACAGATTGTCGGCAAAACTGAGCAGGATCTGCGCGGCAGTCATGTGCGATGGCAGATTGGTGGCAAAACTGAGCAGGATCTGCTGTTTAAGGACAGCGTCCCATGGAGCGGAATACGCGCAAGCGGAATCAGCGGATCGCCAATCACAAGATCATTCTGATAGAGAAAATCCTTTCAAAAATTCCGTCGAATTTTGTGATTGGCGATCCGCTGATTCCGCTTCCGCGTATTCCGCTCCATGGGACATTGCCCTAATTTATATTTTTCTATCGTTTTTATTCCTTTCATTACAAACATAAAAATAAGTAAGTAGTTCTTTAAGATTTCTACGCACTCGTAGACAAGAGTGCAAGAAAGCTCATTTCAGCACTTTAAAAAGATGACAAAAATCTCACGTGGATGTGTTAATTTATAATATCGCGTGCGGTTTTCTTCTTACGAGAAAGTGTCAGGCCGCGTGTCCATCTAGCGGGAACGTTACGCTACTAAACGATAGAGTTTGCTCTGTTTTGTTACCAATCTGCCGACAAATTGTGTCAGTAGATTCTCCTCGGTTTCGGCTGCAATCTGTCGCGGCACCAATCTGCTGTCCAAACATGTTATCAAGCTTTGTTATATTTCTGTTGATGTTTTGTCAACATCATATGATATATCAGAGCCTATATCAAATCTGTAATCTTTCTGTCGATACAATTTGGAAACAGAGTTTCCTGAAATCTGCTCTCTGCAGCTTGGCTGTCTGGGTACTTATTTATGTTGTATTTACAGATTATTGCTGAAAGGAAACTTTACCATGAACGCACTAATGGTCGATACTTACAAAACTCTAGTAATGACACATCGGAGGAGGGAAGTGACACAGATTTGATAGGAAGTACGTAATGCAATTATTGGCTTAGGTTATACCGTAAGTTTAGGTCGACCTATAGTCGCTTATTTGGTCTATATTCGACTTAGTCATGATATGGTGGTATAAATTGTTAAACAAGTCGGTCTGGCTAGAATCAGAATACATACCTATCGTGGAAATGTTCAGAATGGATTTCGATCGAAATAATTCCGTTTTCCCTGGAAAATACAATAGAAGTCTAGAAAATAATTGAACGATTCCAACCCGAGACAATTCCGAACATTGCCGTGATGAGTAGGCACGGTACTATTATAGAAATACATTGGAATAGATTCTAATTAGAATTGTTTAATTACCCAATTGGCATAGGAGTGTCGCAGAATATTCCTTGAGAATGCCACTGGTGTGACAGTAGAGATGTACACAACAAACGTTTATGGAGTATTCCATAGACATTTCTTTCGGAATGTATTTTATTAAATTATTCCCGGAGTGTTCTTTAGATATTCCTAAAGAAATGTTCCATGAACATGCCAGCGAGAATGTTCAAATGGAATATTACACTTGACATGGAATATATTTATAATTCTATAAACTATTAAAATTATTATTGACAAATTTATTACCCCTCTCTCTTTAAAATTATTGTACCTATAAAATTTTATATTTTTAAAAAACAAATAATAAAATAATCGAACTGAATAAGAAACAGTTAACATTAATGAAAGCACAATTATTCAATGCTAAGTGCGATATTCCATTAATGTTTCTGATATATTCTTATATGTATATTCTACGAACCTTTTACAAATAACATTCGGTGAACATTCTCGCTGACATATTCATGGAATATTTTTTCAAGAATATCTAAGAAACATTCTGAGAATAATTTAATAAAATACATTCTGAAAGGAATATTTATGAAACACTCCATAAACGTTTGCTTCGTATATCTCCACTGTCACATCAGTGACATTCTCAAGGAATATTCTACAGTACAATACAGCAAAAGTTTGTATGCTTATACCTATAGTTTATATGTAACACAAAAAGATACAATTAAAAAGTTTTTATACTAGTAAGTATTAGTAAAAGTACTATACATATACA